AAGTATGTCATTTAGATTTTCCTTGCTCTCAAATTGGGTTTGGTGCTGCTGTAGTTTCCTGTCGTTGGCGTTATGCAAAATATTCAGGCCATGTAGGCTTTAATATATTGCTCCTCCCCGTGGTCTCACCTGGGAAGAAATTATATGCTTCTAACTGCCTCTTGACAGGTGAATCACTTTTTCACTCCAGATCAAAAATAAGACTATTTTTGTATTCTACTGCCACCATAGATAGCATATGATTTCTTGCTAAACGCCTAAAATAGGGATTTTTAAGTTTCATCTTCATAATAATATGTACAACTATTAATGATTAAACACGTTTAGAATCTGTTAGCCCGGGGAAGGTGCCGCCATATTTCATTTGAGGTGAGGTTTGATTCAGTTGGTACCTGCACGGCTGTTTGATTTCACATATTCATCTTTGTTTTCTTTGCTTTCAAGATATTGTCAACTACCAAGGAGATCTTCGACGCAAACTTTCAGTTGAATTTGTGTTGGCAAGTTTCCTCTAGGTAAGTTTTTTTTTTTTTCAACCCTCAATCCATTCTTCCTTTTTCTATAATTAATGAACTCATTATCTAACTTCCCATTGTAATTGTTTACAGATTTGTCATTCAGTTTCCGATTTTGCTACAGGTGCCCTGTCAAAGCCAGCAGTCTCCAGTTGCTTCATGTGGCTAGTCAACTTAAAGAAGCCTAACAAGATGCAGCTTTACGACATGTGCAAAGTTTCTGAATGCTCTCATTTCTGAACTGGTGAAGAGGAGATATATTTTATGATTTACACTGTGATAATTGACAGCAAATATCCTCTGCTGCTGTTTATGGATGAATACTATGCTATTCTATCTAGTTGATTCTTTTCCTGTTGGCTTTGATAATAAACCAATTACTATGTACTTGTGATCTTTTTATTTTAATGTCCATAAGTACTTTTGTACTTTATTACTTCAGTTGTTAAAGCGATGAGGCCGGCACTACCTAGCAAAAGTCATTGTTCCTCTAAATCTAAACTTTATGTTGATGCTAAAGCCTTCCAGTTTCTAGTTTGGAGAACTTCCATTGTGAAGCCTGACTGATAGTGATAAGGCCACTATCTCTACTTTCAAAATAAGGAGCTGAAATATAGAATTTCTAAACCGATTTTCGTGTCTTCTCTAACAGAGCTCTCAGAATGAATGTTTGTCAAGGTGTTACGAAAGGGACGCCCCTGACGATTTCCGTAGTTTAGTTCTTGCACCTGGGCGCCGCCAGGGTGGGCAGCCGACTCCGCAGGGCTGTTCGGCGGGTGTGCCTACCCAGGTGATTGCAGGCGGCAAGCTGACTCCGAAACGGGCGGTAGGTGCTTGGTTTGTTCTGCCTCGGAAGTCATTACCTAGTACCTAACTATAAATAAAGCTGAAGGCGCATTTTTTTAATTTTATTTTTTTTGCCGCTTTTCGTCGCTCGGGGCGTGGACGGCCGCTGGTTCGAATAACGTTCATCCCACATTTTTCGAGCTTTTGCCACCCAATATTTCCGTCTTACAAAAAAAATATTTGCGCTGGCCGGGAGTCGAACCCCGGGCGCATGATCTCAGACGATGATACTTTAGTGCGCTCGGCTGTCCGTTCGTCTTCTCCTCTATGCGTCCAAACCTCGGTCCTGCATTACGAGGGACGAAAAGCGGCAAAAAAAAATTAAAAAAAAATGCACTGGCCGGGAGTCGAACCCCAGACAGTTACAGACTGGTCACAATTGAGCAACCTCAGCTGCCACAGAAGTGAAAGAGATAAAATATATATCTGCCCTAGCCGGGAGTCGAATCTCGGGCGAACAGTTTGACACGAGCACGATTTAGCGCGCTCGGCCGCCCGCCCGTCTTCTCCACTGCGCGCTCAAAGTCGGTCCTGTATTACGGGAGACAAGGAGCGACGCCGGTCGCCAGTCAGCGACAGCGTAGAATGATTCGTTCCCTGGAGCGCAGATTCGTATCTCGCCTCCATGGCTCAGTCGGTAGCGCGCCCGCTCAGAGCGCGGGAGGACGGTGGTTCGACTCTTCATATGCCCGAAATTTTTCTCAGGCCACCAAATTTCAAATGGACTTCAAACCCCGTTATTTCACCACGCCCCTCTCGTGGAGTTCCGTTGGCGTAGTGGTTACCATTGTTGGTGGCACTGCGTCATAGGTGGCTTAAGTGTCGGCTCTGGGCCGGGGTTCGCGCCCTGGTGCCTGCCACCTTGCTATGGTAGCGGGGTGGATAATAAGACCTAGAAACTGGCTGAAAATGGCTCCATGACCTATGGTGGGTCAGTACGATTAACCAACGTACGCTTCAACCGTCTCACAAACCCCGGGAGTACATTCTGACCACTGCGGTTGGGAACGGCTGTTCGGAACAGAGACCACAGTTCGCTAACTACTGCGGTGGGATGAGGAAAGCACTCCCATGGGTACCTGTCGTTCCTGTTTAAGCGGGTAGGCGACAACCCTAGTCAACAGTTGGTCGGATCTAACAGTCTGGCTGATGGCGTGGACATACCGGATCCCATCCGAACTCCGAAGTTAAGCACGCGGGGCCCCATGTAAAAGCGGGGTGGGTACTCCCTCTTTTTCACATTCTTTGAAAAATAATTTGGTCCTAAACGGCGCCTCTATAGTCTGTTCGGAATTCGCTGGATGGTGCGCACCTCCACCGCTCCCCCCTCGCCCTCCGCGCCTGCACGCTTGTGCGTAGGCAACCCATCGAGCTGCCGCGTATTCTTACGGACACCCGGTACGACTGCACTGATAGAACCACTACGGTTCTGTATAACAGGGCCTTAAATGGCAAAGCCATATGAATTTTTAAGTCGTTCCTAGTTTTATTATTTCTTACAATGAAAGAGAAAATAATTTTGCATGACCAGAATTTCAAAATAAATTAAATAGGACTTGCTCGATAGTCCCAGACTAGAGCTAGTTATCCTGATCATTTCATTATTGTCACATGGCACCATGGCACTTGGCACTTCCCTGGCGTTGCCGCCTGGAGCCACACAACGATGCACGGG